AAGTTACGAAAGAAAAAACAGGTAAGTACAATGAACAAAAATTTATGAACGAAAACTGTGTTTTAAATATTATCTAAACGCTCGTAAATGTACAAAGTATTTTTTTGTTTGTTTGTTTATTCATTATTCTTTTTTATTAAACATTCTTTATTTCTCTCTCTCTCTCTCTCTCTCACTCTTTCTACATATATTAAAACAGTTTATATATAAAATTCGTAAGAAAAAACTTAACACAGTGTACGTTTTTAGGCGCGTGTTTCTTTTGTTTTTTTTTTTGTAGCTATATGCAGATATTAATAGATTAATTATTAACGTATTATAAATTGTTGAGAGATTATTACACATTAACAATGATTATATAAATTGATAATTATATTATTATATTATTATTATTTTTATTTCTATAGAATTATGTCGTTGGAAAAGAGGCAAATGAAGATCTATGGCATTCCTACGGCGTAAGATCAGGACGGACATTTTTACCGATGTGACTTGATGATTTTTTTCTCTTTTCTTTTATTTTATTTTATTATTATTGTTTCCTTCCTTTTCTATTTTTTTTTTTACGCCATTTTTTTCTACCTTTCTTTAAATATTCAATATATACAAATTTTCTCTTTTCTTTTATTTGTTTTTTTCGTTAACAAAGTTTATATATTTTTTTTTTTGCAATCTAATCAATAATTCATTTAATTCAATTCACTAATTCATTCATTCATTCATTCATTTATTCATTATTTTTCATCGAACGAGAATACTGATCAAAATCCATATTTTATCATTATTATAAAACATAGATAATATATATATATATATATATTGTATATATATATATGTGTGTATATATATATATATTATTTTAATAAATACGCAATACAAGAGATAATTAATTGATAATATTAAATAAATAATTAGCGAGATACACGGAATAAACGTAAAAAAAATATTTAACAGTTAATTGTAAGACAAATATAAATATAAATAATTTAAATAATATAATATATAGTTTGACAAAACGATTATCAGTAAAAAAAAAAACGTAACAGATTATAAATTAACGATTGAATTGTTTGAACGAATAGAAAACACCTACTTCGTCCGAAGTGAATTATTGTTTTTTTTTTTTTCTTTTTTTTTAAGCCATCATTGCAATTTTATTATTTTTTTTTTTGTACTTACGACTATTAAACCTTTGATTTATTTTATTATTTTCATTATCTTATTTTATTTTCTTTTCTTTTTTCAACATTCTCTTATGTGATTCGTTTTCCTGTTTTTTTTGTGTGTTTTTTTTTTTTTTGTATTATTTTAATTATATTTTCTATTTAATTTCATTCATCTAATTGAGATTATCACGCGTCATATTTCTTCGAGAGTTTCATCCCTTAATAACCTAGCTTTCAACCCGAAAGGATGTAATTTGTTTCTTTTAACGTTTCTCTTGCTTTCCAATCTCTTCCAAATTTCTTGTTCCATTTTTTCTTTCTTCAGACGTTGCTGTTCCTTCTTCCAAATATCCTGCATACGAATGACAAATTCATGAAATAATTTGACAATTTTACGCACAAAGAACGATTCGTAGATACAAATACCTTGAAATCGTGACAGAAATTAAACCACAGTGTAAAGAATTGATTAGGATCGGCCGTATCCAATGTCGCACCTTTAGGTACGAATTGATAAAATTGCATAACACTTTTAAATTTTTTCTTTGCCTTGACCAAAGCTTTATTCTCGTTTTCTAATTCGGTGGTTGCACTGGTAAAAAATGTGTTCATGTTTTCTTGAAAAACACGTGCGTTAGGCGGATTAGATTCTATAACTGCGTCGTATTTTTTTTGACAAGCTAAAAACAGAATAAATAAGTAAATTAATAAAGAAATAAAAAGGTAGATTTTTGAAAAATGTGAATATCGTACCTTTCAATTGATCGTCCAACCTTTGAAGTTCTTTGGTAATATCTTCAAAATTGATCGTCGATGCAGCTTTTATGTCAGCCGGCTCAGGTACGGGTAACGGTAAAGGTTCATCAAAATTACAATCCTTTTCCTGAGCTAATCTCGCTTTAACAATAAAATGTAACAAAGTAATACCGGGTACTTTAGATTTAACATCCTTCAATTTGTCAAGTATTTCCAAATGAAAACCATCTGCCTGTCCTCTCATCATGTTACCACCGTTCATATAATTTCCCAATGTTAATATCAAAGCCATCACCTTTTTCAATGAATTAGAATTGTTCAGGTAATCACAAATCGTCTTTAAATTGGTCAACTTGCTCGATACCGACGATATGGCGTCCTGAAATTCCGATTGGAATACCAAACAAGCCATTCTTTCACTGAAATGATCAATCCCTGCTAATCGTTTCAAAAATAATTCGGGACGATCCAACGGGACTTCGGAATTAGCTTTCTCGTGCGCTAATATCTCGTCCAATTCTTTTTGCGTTGCTCTCTGTGCAAAGAAAAACGAAAAAAAAGAAAATATAAATAAACATTTCGTACGAAAAATAATTTCATTTAAAAAGTTATATACTAACGACTTCGTAGATTTGTTGTAGAGATTCGAGACCTATCACACTGGTGTCCAGATTGTAAACAGCATTTTCAACTTCTGTAAAATCAATGTGCAAACTTTTTTCCAATATCCCAACAGTTTTCGATCGTTTTGAATCTAGAATCTTAGCAGGTTGAATTTTCGATGGTTTTTTAACAACATTATCTCCTTTTTTAGTAAGTTTACGTTCGGTTACTTGACGTGAAAATAAATTAGTAAATTCGGTGATATCTAGATCCTTTTCTTCTTCTAATTCCGCCCAAAAAGATGTCTATTAAATTGATTTGAATAAATGAATGCAGTCGGAGTAATAATTGAAAATTCAAATCATTGATTTTTTACCGTAGATTTTCCTACACTGGGAACAGCCGCCATTGGTGCGATAATTCTCGTCCAATATAGTGGTTTCATCGGTACAACAGGATTCAAAGGTTGTTTCCTCAATGCTGAAAAATATTATGGATAAATGGTTTTAAATATTTTCAATGTTTCATTTATGAAATAATTTCTTATTACTTACTCGATCTGCTGGGAGGATTCCAGCCTCCGATAGGAGGAGCAGGTAAAGGAGTTGGAGTAGAAGCGAATGGTGGTGGAGGTGGCGGTGGTCCTGATGCATTTGAGCCAGGACCTGCTCCCGTGATCGAGGTAGAAAATAGAGGAGGTGGCGGTGGTCCAGTCATACCTGGCATTGGTGGTGGTGGTGGCCCAACTATTCCAGGCATTGGTGGGGGTGGTGGTCCAATTATTCCAGGCATTGGTGGAGGTGGTGGTCCGAATGATCCTGGCATTGGGGGTGGTGGTGGTGATGGCCCAAATGTTCCTGGCATTGGTGGAGGAAGTGGTGGAGGTGGTGGTCCAGCCATTCCTGGCATTGGTGGTGGAGGAGGTGGTCCAGCCATTCCTGGCATTAATGGTGGTGGTGGTGGTGGTGGAGGAGGAGGTGGTGGTGCTGATATTGGTCCTGAAATTCCTGGCATTGGTGGTGGTGGTGGTGGTGGTGGTGGTGGTGGTGGTGGTTGGGACAAAGATAAAGAACTCTGTCCTGTCAGTTCTGGCATTGGAGGAGGTAGGGGTGGTACTTGCGATTGTTGTGAAAATTGTGCTTGTTCAGTACCTGGCATAGGAGGAGGTGGAGGAATGCACAAAGTTTGTAAATCCAATGAAGATGGTGGAGATGGTAATGGTGGTGAGATACACGAAGCCAATAATGCTGGAACTTGTCTCGATTCGGAATGAATAGTTGATTCAGTCACTATCGAAATTAACGGTGGTAGTGGTGATTGCGATGGTGGGGTAAAAAGAGGAGGAGGAGGAGGAGGAGGGGGAGGAGGTGGAGGAGGCGGAACCGGTGGAGCAAAACATTTCGGCGAAATATCTTCTTCCAATTTTGTTTCGTCAATACTTTCAACGACAGGAATCAAAGATTCCGACATTTCGGTCACGATTTCTCCGTTCTCAGTGGGAAATAAATGATTATCTTGACTTTTAATGTCTTCGTTAGTCGGTGAAAGTGATTTTTGATTGGACATTTGGACCTTCGATTTCTCATCTTCCAACAACATACGTAGATTCGTTATTTCGGGTTCTTCTTTGGATTTAGTCGATTTTTTCGATATAATCGATTTGTTAGGTAAAATTGGTGAATTATCGAGAGAAACAACGGTAATTTTTTCACCTTCGCTGATACTCGTTGCTTGGGATGCACTTTTGTAATCGTTCGATGACGGTGAACTTGCACTTGTAACGCTGGGTGATGCACTTTTTGGTGACGTTTGAACACATTTGTCCTGTGCCATCGTAACAGCATCCTTATTAACTTTTTTCAATCTTTCTATCTCGTTTCTCAACTCGATCAATTCCTTTTCCAATTGTTGTACGTTCTCGTTGGTTTTAGATTTTTTCAATGATTCGTTAAAATACGACGACGACGATGACGACGACTGCGACGTATTATTATCGAATTGATTTCGATAATTATTCAATGATACCTGAAATAAATTTGTTATACCGTTAGTCGATGACATATTTAAAATTCACACACACACACACACAACTGGGTTAACAAGTTAATTTATCTAAATTCAGAATAATTAGATAAAATTTCTTCGAATTATATTTCTAATCTCGAATAAATGGAATGAAGTATAATAGGAAAAAAGGTTAAATGTCACGATAACTAGGTTGAGAGATTACAAATCTTACATTGTCCTGAATTTGTTAACGATTGAAACCAAACAAATAAAATCGACAATGATAAGTTTCATCATTTGACGTATCTGTTTGTCAGCTGTCAGGTGAGACAGCTTATCCCAACGTTTTATTATAATAATCTTATGCTAATATCATTAAATCCAATGATCCTTACCGTTTGTGGAATATTATTTGTGCTATCTTTGTCCGCCAATGATCGAAGTAAACCTGTCGATACCAAACGAGAATAAAATGCAAGCTCGAGTTTTTCACGCTCTGCATCTGTCAATTGTGATTTTAAATGTTCTGGCAACTCCGACGTCAATACTTCTATCAAACGTAATCCTATAAAATGAAATAAGAAAATATACCTTGATAACCTTGACAATGATAACAATGATTTTTGTACTTAATTCTTTTCTTTTTTTTTATTTTTCTTTTTTTTTCTAAAAAAGATTGAAACGAAAAAAAAAGATATCTCGAAAGAGAAATAATCCGTAATTGAGAAAAAAAAAAGAAATGTATGAACCGGTTATCATTGTGCACGTGAACATGAGCTAGCAAGCTTATCGTTTAGGTCTCTTTATCTTCTTTCTCTTCTTTTTTCTCTCTCTCTCTTTTATGAATTATTATCTTCTGTATTGTAAAATTGAGATTTTTCTTCGCGTAATTGTATTATCTCAAAACATGTGAGTAATATATATATATGTGTGTATATTATTTTTGTTAACACGTTAAAAAATGTTATTGAAATGAAATGAAATACTTCCTCGATGGGGGTTTATATAAAAAATACAAACCTAATCGTTCTTTTTTAAATTCAGATAAATTCAACGTTCTTGACATTTAATTGAAATTCAAAAAGAAAATGTAAACGAGCTCGACATTAAATTTCATTGCTCGTTAAATGTTAAATCAGAAATGACGAGGACACCGCGTTATCGTATTTTCTGTCAGTCAGTCAACTGTCAACGTTAAAAAAAAAAAAAAATATTCTGCAATAATACTTATTTTTTCTCGACTATTTCGATATCGCAACGACGCTATAACAATCGACCGAATTCTGATAGAAAACTAAAAACAGGTTTTACACGAGAAATATCTCTTCTTTGTGTGTTGTGTCGTCGTTGTCGGCTCTCTTATCAGTGCAAACGCCTTTCATTTTCATTATCGTTCAGCACATTTTTAAAATGATTTACGTCTCTCGAATGTTCTTGTTTTTAATGAAAAATTTATATTTTTCGTATCCTTTTTTATTAAATTATACGAAAATAATATTTTCTTTTTTTTTTCTGTCGATCATGCAAACACGATTAACATAATAAACGATAAATAACGAAAATAAAAATGTATATTTGAAATATTATTTTCTGTTAACCCATATACGAGTCGTTCTTATGTAAAAAAACCCCATATGAACAATTTACCGAGCCATATAAGGGTCGCACAATACGATGATTCGTACGAACATATTTATGTGGAACGATACTCGTGCAAGTTTCGAAAAAAAATTGATTATATTGAAAATGCAGATTGCTAATTAAACTTACCTTCGAATTTACTATAAAGACCATAATCAAGTTTACGTGGTATAACTTTGGCGTTATCGTTGATCTTCGATTCAAGACTAGCACGATCTAAAACCAAATTAGCAACTCTTCGAAGTACTTGACTTTCCGGTGATGTTTCGTACATCGTGTGTCTTCTATGTGGTGTCTTTCTGGTATCACTAATAACAGGTGATGGCGAAATATCTGCAAACAATATAAATTATCATAATGAATGGGTGTATTAAAATAAAGTAAGATAATAATCGTACTTTCGCAAGGTAACAAAATAATGACTCGTCGAAAAAAAAAGAAAAATAAAATCCGTAACGTAATTGAAAAGATAAAAGATATAATAAGTATTTTTTTCTTTTATAGTGCTAAGACTAATCAAATATTTATGTCATGTTGCGATAAGAATGATATAAGGTAGCAAATATAATCTATAATCTGAAACTTTCATATTCATTTTGTTTTCCTGTTTTTGAAATCTAATCAAAATAGTAAATAAATAAATCAATCAATATTCTTACTCAATTGAGATGGTGTCGGTGGTAATTGAATTCTTTTGTGCCTTAGAACAGAGAATGGTGATCTTTTTTCGCTATGGTCATCCTTTAAATTGATTGAAGCAATTAATGTATCAGTTGACGATGGTGTTTTAGGAACACATTGCGTTTCCGCAGGTAATGGAACTTCTTCTGTATCGGTAAATACACTGTCACTGGAAGATTCCTGACTGAGCGGTGCAGATATCTCGGCAACTAGCAAACCTTTGTTGGCTAGACGCCAGGAGTCGGTGACCAACAAGGTGGATGAGGGGTTCGTTAGGCTCACCGGGGTTGTGTTAGCTTCAATAATCGGTTCTTTCGTAGTTGATGTTGTTCCATTGATAAGAATAGACGTTCTACTAGGTGTCTTATCGATCTTTTTATTCTCAACATCGCGAGAAGGGATCATCGTATTTGATGATGATTCCTCGCGACATTGAGATATCAATTTTGTTTTTTCATCGGGCGTTGTCGTAACGATCTAAACAATACAATTTAAACATTTTGTCAAAAAATTATATATAAAAAGAAAAGAAAAATATATTACAATAGAACATTGTAACCAACCTTTTCGGTGGTTGTCGTCACCGGTGGTTTAGGTGCCTGTCTTTTAGCAGGCGTTTGTAATTTCTCAATAGATGATTTATAAAAATGTTGCGTGTTATTACTTTTACCGATCTCATAACTAGTAACATCGTCCAAACTTTTGGAACTTTTTTTAACATTTATTATCTCAGGAAATTCCGGATTGTCGATGTTCGGATATGTTACATTTGCATTATCCTTTACCTTCTTTCCTTTTTTTTTACCATCACTTTGTAAATTACCCATTAAATTACGGATTGTCGTTACCGAGGATGCTGCGTTTTCCCCGTATAATGCTCTCAATGATTCTATCCAACGTCGAGAAAAATCGCGCAGCTTCGGCGCCCAAGGCCGCGCCTGTGCAGCGACTGCGTCCTCAGGTCGATGCATTTTCCCCGGTCCGTCCGGTCGATAATCGACAATGAATTTCGAGTTCTTATTAAATTCTTCTGTGTGTTACTTCTAAACAATTCTCGAGAATTTATTTGTTTTTCCCAAAGGGACAAAAAAACAGGAACGAATACATAAACGAGTGAAACGAATACAAAGGAACAAGGATCAATAGAAGTGGATTAATTTTTTCATACTTGGTCTCTCGATTTTTGTTCTATTAGTATTATTATTATTATCGGAATTTTGTAGTGCACGTGTGTGTAAGAGAGAGAGTGAGAGAAGTAATTTTGTTGAAAATCCAGAACGAAACAGTAAGATCCTGTTTTTTGTTTCTTTTTTGTTTTCTCTTCTTTTTGATTTTCATCGATTTTGTTGCTGATAAATATCGGATATTGTCACTAATAGTTGCACTGTTGGTTCTTTCATTAACAATAACGATGTATTATTATTTATTGGTAAATTCGTTGATATATTTGTTAAACACATGATCACAATTATTTGAATTATTGATAGTTTTGTTTTTATACGAATAATCCGAATACATTTGAATAGGTTTCCGATGACGGATCGTTTTTCACTGTTACATTTAACCAACTCATTTCGTTATTATACTCTGACGCATATTGTATATCCTTCGAAGGATAAGTAAATACGAACGGTTATACTTATTTTGTTTGTTGTATATTGAAATTTGTTTTCTTTCCTTCTTGTAACGCGTGTAGATGCGTCTTTTAATAATACGAAATTCAATTAATACGATTCCACGATCCTTGTGATTGAGAAACCTAATTAATTATACGGATAATTATTAAATTGTTTTTCTTTTTATTTTTTTTATATGTTTAGTTAAAAACTCACCGTTTACTGGATCACATTTTCACTTGGCACCAACTACAATCCGATTCCTTTATGTATGATCTGACCTGTTCCTGTTTCACAATACTCTATTGTGAAATTACTATTGTATTACAAGGATACTATGGTGAATCTGTGTCATTTCAAACGTTTATCCTCTTCCGGTTATTCCATTCGAACAATTTTCTCCTTCCTTTTATTCGTACGCGTATGCAATTGATTTAACTCACTCGTTCAGCACACTTCACTTTCTATTATTATCTTCGCTCATGTTAGTTTCGTAGGAAAAATCGAAATACAATTAATTTTTTATAATATTATAACAAGTGCACACACGTGTACAAAGCTATTGATATTTTCAAGGTTGTCTTTTTTCAAGTAGCATTCATCGTTTTATTCGCGATCGATTTGGACGATGAATTTTTAATTTAAAAAAATCATACGTACGTTCTAACACCTTTTTATTCTTCTCGATCATTTTTATTCCAGTTGAAAATTTAATTTCGTTAATATACAGACACTGAATTTTTGTAATCATTTATGCAATAATTTAATTGATTTAGATTAGAAAAAATATAATTTTTTTTTGCTTGTTATATATGGTCACAATTATTATAATTTTTGTTTTTTTATTGCAAGGTATTACTTTTTAGAAAAAAAAATCAAATGTATTCTTGATGCATATAATTATATAAACACTAATAGATATTAATAAAAAACACTATATTTTATTTGATCCGCGTAAAAAACACATATACACTCACTCACGTCACATTCACTACTGTCATGTCTCTCATAGATCTTCTTACAGCGCAGTCTCCTATAATCGAGTTTCGAGATACGATAATTCGATTATTGCAAATCCAAAGCGGGAAAATTAGAATTTCCAAATCAATCATTACATTAAAAGATTCATATAATAGAAATAATTGTGTAATTAATAAATATAAGTATAAAATTAAAACAAATTATTTTATTCGATTAATGTAATCATTACATTTATTTATGTTTTTTTTTTTTATTACACCAATAAAATTCGATTGAGAATTAAGATAAAAAATATTTTATCGATTGAAATATAATTGCATACACGCACGTGTAAATCAATTATCGTACTTGCACCTTTAGAAACAATATTCACCGCTAGAGGGTGCACACGTTGGGTCACCTGATCAAAGATGTCAACCGAACGGAAAGTGTACCGCGAACTGTTTTTCACATTGTTTAAGTGGTGAGTTGCATTTATTATATTAAAAATAATTATTTTAATAACAATTAGATCATTTTAATATATTTATTACCGATATTTTTAATGATCTAATTTATTTGTTCATATTTATTTCAGTAATATTGTATTGTGTAAAGTATAAATATATATATATATACATATATATATATATATCAATCAACAAACTAACCTTTTTAATTAGTATACACATATCATATCTAAATCAAAGGATGAGTAGATCAACAGATTGGGACGTAGAACAATATAAAACGGAGCACGAATGCGACGAGCATTGGGAATTAAGACGTAAATTTTTAATAACTCATAAGGATAAGTTTCCAGAAGATGAATTACTATGTTTAGCACAAGTCTTTACCAATGTTGAGATTTTAGGTTGCAGGTATTATTCTGTTGCATTTTCCTTTGATGTATATGTTTTGGATTTAAATATTTGATTACAATTGAAATTTTATAGATATCCTAAAGAAACTATGAATTTGATATCAGAGTTAGCCCAAGATATTGTATGTGAATATAGGGAAAGAAAAAAGAATAAATTACAGAGAACATTTGTCAAAGCATCAGATGCTGCCCGTACTAAGGCACAAGGTACATCCAAAATTCAAGGTACATCAAATTTCAAAATATTCTTTGTATTATTTAAATGAGTTAATATATTCATATATACAGAACATTTCATAATATGTGAAATATGCTTCGATAATGAACAGCAATAACAAGAACGATGAGAAAAGCTCATACAAACATGTGCCTTATTTTGTCTTATTTCAAAGTTCTAGTTACTTTTGTAGTTCGATAATCCACAATAGCTTATTTTAAAAAATACTCAAAATGAATAACTTTGAAATCAAGTCAAATAAAACACATGTTATGTATTCTGTATATATGTTATATATATTTGTATGTATAATAATCTAATAGTTTACATTTATGTGATCAAACACAGCTTAAAGTTATAGGATTTAATAATCCGTTATCAGGTAGTAGCACGGAGAAGATGGAAACAAGTACAAATGATTCGAGCTCAATTAAAAATGAAAACAAGATAGATAACGTACCTGCTAAAAAAAATAAACCAGACACGTCTCCATTTGGAGATATGGTATTAGTTGAAAGACCTGGTGATTTACCGCAAACTATACTTTCCTGCTCTGTCAACCTTACTGGTGGAAATATCCAATGGAAAATGAATAAGGCGAATATAAACAAGTGGCAAGTAGATTAACTTAAAAGAATTGATAATTAAATTTAAAAAATTAGACTCGTTTTGTTAATAATGTAAATGTATGCGTTTTATAGGCAATGTATTATTTTAATTAACGATAAACAAGTCACAGAATGTTACGGCACAAATCCAAAGCTTGCCAAAAAAGAAGCATCGGTCAAAGCATTACAAGAATTACAAAAACATTATTATACTATCAAGGTAAATTTGTTTTTTTCTTTTTCCTTTTTTTAATATTATATCTATTTCAATAATTTAATATAAAGTGTTCATCGCGAATAAATTTATTTATAGATTAAGAATAATTTTATCGAAGAATCTTGTGTGACAACAACGACAATGCTGCAAAATACATCATCACCGCAGGAATCCGTTTCTGATTCTATTTCTGATGACAACATTGGTAAGAAGTTAATGAGACTTATGGGTTGGACTGGTGGAGGACTTGGAAAATCTCAACAAGGGATTATCGAGCCAGTGATGTAAGCAGGTTATTCTTATTAGATTAAATTACTTTAATCAAAGACAGATATTAAAAAAAAAAAACATTTGTAAAAATTCACAGCGTTAAACAACAAGTTAGTCGAGATGGTTTAGGATTGAAAGTTAAATCAACAAATCTACGCGAATTTGAATTTAAGTGTAGAGAAATATTAAAAAAATATCAATCGGGTGATTTGAAAACTGATTTAGTATTCTCTCCAGAATTCTCCAATGAAGAAAGAATGATAATACACAAGTAAGTATTTAACATTTATAAAATGAATTTTGTCATTATCTCGAAACAAGAATTTTCTAGAATTAGAAGAATCGATATTTAATAAATTATTCTTGCAGACTTGCGCGACAAATGGGCCTAAAATCTCATAGTTATGGTTCGAAAGAGCAAAGAAAATTAGTCATATCTCGTAAAATTGATTTAAGGGATTTAGTTATCGAATTGAAAAGTCTCGGTGGAAGCACAGACAAATACGAGCTTATAAAACCAAATTCCGTTTAGGACCAATTACAAATATATATATATATAAACATATATATTTTATCTTTCGCACTACTACAACATGTGAGATTCGTGTCCAAACTTTGTTTCAAACATAAGCATGGAATACAGCACTGAACTTTGATATGCAGGTGTTAAATCATAATGCAAGAAGTTAAAAGAGATTTTCCAGTCTTATAGAAGCAATATTAAATGACATTGATATACTTGTAGGTATATTACAATTAAGTTTTAGCACAAAAAAAGTAAAAAAGGAAAAAAAAAGACATAGCGTTCTTCGTATATTGTCAGGTTAGATCGTTCATCATTGTGTTGCATTTTCAGGAGCAGTAACCATTAATATTTTTATAAAAGACTATTGTACAAAAGATATCATATTTATATGTACGCATTAACACATCATGCATGTCATGATAATGCGACAATTATTTTGAATATATATATCTCTCCCTTTCTTTCATTAAAAAAAATTACTTCAACACAAAATAAACTTAGGAAATGAATTTAACATGTAAATAATTCGTCTATATATACACATACACACACGCATATATCTATATATATTATACAGGGTGTCTCAGCGAAAGGAGGTCATTTAAATATTATCTTTATTTTTAATCATATGAAATATATCGCATAATTTGATTAGTTTCAAAAAATATATGTCACGGATCAACAATTTTCTTGCTAGATATTTGTTTATAAATGTTGTAACTAGTAAGCTTTACTTATCGGTAAAATCAAGAATCAATTATAATACGTATAAGTAAAATCAATTATATTTAATTTGCCTCTATAATAAGACATTTTAAAAAATAATTATAACATCGATAAGGATAATGATTGGTAGGAAATACAAAAATATGATATAGTTTTTTTACTAATTTGCTATATTTAGCATCATTTTCATTACATATGTCGTTCGTTGAAACATAAGCAATTTCGATCAATTAAACTCTGCTAATATCTAAAAAAAAAAGAAATAAGAAAAAAAAAATAAAGAAAGAAAAAGAAATAAAAATATATAGAAATCAATGTTTAAACGCAAACATTAAATAATAAAATATTCTCGATTGTATAGTTTATTATATAAATGATAACTTTCTCCTTTAAAAGGAACTTTTATTTTCTTTTTTTTCTTTTATTACAAATATATTTTTAAACATTTATTATTTAAAAAAAAAAGAAGTGGTGATAAAAGTAAACCATCAAACGGCGATGCTTAAAGATTAAAATGTTATTTATTTCTTATTACGATTTTGTGTTACTTATTCCCAAGAATTAATAATAATAAGATAATAATAATAATAATAATAATAATAATAATAGCAACAAAGGGATTAAATGAAAAATTACTTATTGATGAATTTGTAACAGATCGTCACGTTGATGTGCAATTTGATGTGTCGGGTGTATGTGTAATAGAAGTGTCAAACTGTCAAACTGAAGAAACGTTCACTTTATTATTTATTATACCCATTGCGCGTTAAAAATAATATTCATGAACACACACAACATTGTTGTATTATTATATTAAAGTGAATTATTTAAATGGAAGTACAAAACTGTTAAGAAGCAAAATCGCTTAGAAGTGTACGATATGCCACAGATGCCGTAACAACAACAATAATAATAATAATAATATAATTATTATAAGAAAAATTCTTTGGCAGTAGAAAAAAGTTCGAACAACAAAAAGGAATTTAAAAAATAATTACATTTTTTTCTTTTTCTTTTCTTTCTAAATCGCACTCGACATGCATGATTGATGATAACAATAATAATAATAATAAAAAACGTATTTGCAACTTTAGATTAGTTTGAAAATCGATTTACGACAAAGTTGAAGCTCGTATACGACATGTAGAGATTGAATTTTAATTTAACGAAGCTAATAAAATTGCATAAATATTACATGCGTTTTCTCCCCCGTTCCCTCATCACTCTCCGCGTTCACCCCCTTTTTACCCCTACTTTCACGTATTTAGATTTACAGATAGAGATATAGTTGCTCGTCGTTGTTCGTGTTGTTTCTTTTGTTTTTTTTTTTTTAAATCCGATTAAATTACGCGCACTCGTTTAGTGCGAATAATTTTGTGCAATCTTTGATAAGAAAAGTGAATTATAAAGAAGATTAATATAATACAATACATTTTGTTTTTTTGCAGAGTTAAATTGTTATCCGTTTATAGGTGTGCTACTTGCGTATGTATGTATACGTGGGTGGGTTGAAAAGTATTTCAATCTACATAGAAAATTAAATTGTATTGTGCGTTGGTCAAATCGATTTTTTTTTTTATATTAAAAAATAAATAAAAACAATTTTATTTCTTGTTCTTATTGTGACGTTGAGAAAAATATTCAACCCACTCACGTATTTCATATTTATAATAAATCAAATTCTTTTACGAATTTTCGATTATTACAAACGTCGTGCTAATGACATTTACACAATTGGACAAAAATTAATATTTAAAATTAGAAAAGTGAAGTAAACAATTAATATTAAGAGTATACTTTCTTTTTTGATTGATTATTTACAATAATATTGCGTGCAATTAATCATTTTTATAAATAATTCAAACAAAGCATTCGATTGTTCGTTTTCTTCTTTGCTTTTTAAAAGACAAACATATTATCTCGACTTCAAATTAATTTCATTAATCAAAATTCGAATAATGATTATATTCCGAAGGGGCGGGTGAAATATGTTTGTATATCTTTTTAACAGTTTGTTTTTAGATAGCATTTCTTAAAACGAGGAATAATAATGATTCACATCGAAGTCGGGTCAAAGGGTCAAGGCACACTTTAGCGGAGAGTCGGAATACCTTGACCCTCCGATAGATAAAATGCAACACATACATTTTCGTTATTATTATAATAATAATAATGTAACACACAATATTGTTTTTTTCTTGGTTTTCTTTTTTTCCTTTTTTTCCTTTTTTTTCCCTCGAATTTTGTCTTCGGTCCAGGCCCTACTTTGGACCGTAATTGACATCTGGAGGGAATTATTATTATTATTATTATTATTATTATTATTATTATTATTATTATATTGTAGTTGTAGTTGTAGTTGTTTTTTTTATTTTTAAATATACCAAAATATTATATCTACTAGATATATATATCTGATAAAAGTTGACTCTTTCAATATAATAATATATAGGGGTTTGTACGTATAATTAATTATGAAATAATAATAATAATAATTATACGTACACACACTTTTATTATTAATTACTTATTTTGTTACGTGAAAGATATGTCGATTGTGTATTGACTAGAAGATACGCTTAATAAGTAAATAGTACACGTTATCATCGTTTTTTTTTTTTTTATTTCTTTCTTTCTTTTTTTTCTTCTTTTCTTTTTTTAAAAAGAATTCTCCCGAAAAATATATTTCACTTATTTTTGTTATTCCTTCATATATATTTATCTATGTGTGTATATATATTGTGTATACGTGTATATAGTATATATGGTCTCGAAGATTTACTAAGCAATGCACCTTTTTTTTTTATAGTTTTTTGTATTTTTCTTTTCCCCTTTTNTTTTGAAATAATAATAATTATTATTATTATTTCTTCTTTAATCTTTAGCAAGACCATATGCACGACCATACCCATTAGGAAAATTGTTTACCGATACTATTGTGTGTGTGTGTGTGTGTGTGTGTGTGTGTGTGTGCTATTGGAATCGTTGAAATAAAAAAAAACACACACACAAAGTTCGATTAACAAATTGAATTAAATTTTAGTCGTACGCGCGAATAAAAATTAAAAAAAAAAGAACAAGAAAAATATATGATTTTTCGAGAGAATTCGTCCATTAGTTCGCGTTTTATTACATTAGTGATATGTTTAGATTGATATGTATTAATTATTTTTTGTTTTCACTTTTTTTTTTTTTTCCTTTTTTTCTTTTTTAATATATATATATGTTTTTCTTCGTTTCTTTCTTTTTATACTCCCATTATTTACCGCAAGTGAAAATATTATTACGGTGTAGCACTCGTTTATATTTCTTTTCCAATATATTTTCTCCCCTATTTGTTTTTTTTTTTTTTTGTCATTTTTCCATTATTTTTTTTTTCTCTCTTTTGTTACTTCCAGCTTTTTTTTCCTTATTTTTTTTTTTTTTTTTAAAATAAACTACCTTTCGTACCCTGAATAATATTTTATTTATGCGTACGATATGATGTTCTTGTTGTGTTGAATATCTTGTTTGTACCTATTTTATAACTTTCAAAGAGAAAAAATTGTGTCAACTCAAACGTTAACAGTCGTTTACTTTCATTTGCAATTCTACTGCAGAAAGATTTAAAAAGAGAGAGAGAGAGAGATGATCTTTTATTGTTAGGTTACTTTTTTCTTATTTTTTCTTTCTTCAAATGAACAATCCATGAATATTTTATCTCATTTCTTTGCTACCGTCTCCTTTCTTTCTTTCTTTCATTATTCTGCACACTTTCTGTTTGCATTTTTTTTTTCTTTTTTTTCTTTTTCTTAGAGTTTCTCGTACAAACACACATACATACATGCATCATTTTCAGTATAATAACTTCATTCAAAGAAGATAAAACGTTACTTATTTTACTTGACACCAAAAACTAGTCTCATCCTTTTCTTTTTTTTCTTTTTTTTTTTAAATAATTTCGGTACACACATCGTACTGTTCCAGCAGTAACAACAATTCACTGTTATCGGGTAGCAAATATCACATAGGGATGCGTTTTCAAATCTTTTCCTCTATCGTACTGTTTTCTCTTTCTTTTTTTTTTTCTTTTTATTCGAATTAGAATAACAGACGAATCATAGAATTACGAATGATATCGTTTTTTTCTTTTTTATCTAAATCGAAAAAAAATATAAATTAATATTAAATATTAAATATTACAATTGAATTGAAACAAATAACCAAAGCACAGCTCCGGTCCGATATCAACAACAATAAATTGTTTTATAAACGAAGAAAAAAAAAAATATATATATATATATATAATATTTGTTTATGTAAATATAAAATTAAATGAAATATACAATATCATTCGTTCGATCAACGCATCATCCTCTTTACAATAATAAAACATGATATATTAACGTGAGATGTATGCGAAGAAAAAAACAAAAAAAGAATGTAGGCACAGACAACGATCATCCTTTTCGAAATATTCTAATCATTCACCAAAATTATTTCGTCAATTCATTTTCCATCATATAAAGTCGTTTTCGATATTCTTCAAATATATTCGTTGCGATTAACATCGAATAGCAGCAGCTTCTGATATTAAGTGATTAATTATTAATATTATATGTACAATGAAAAGTGGGAGAGAGTGAGAGTGAGAAAGAGAGAGAGAGAGAGAAGGAGAAGAAATTAAATTAAATTAAATTAAAATTAAATTAACGGAATAATTAAATTTGATAATTTGTGCGATGATATTACATCATTTTCGACAAAAAATTATCTTAACAAAAATAAAAAAAAATATGTGAAATAATAACAAATAATTAGAATAATAATAAAAAATAGAAGAAGAGGGGGGGGCTAGACGAAGATAATATATATAATAATAATTAAAAATAATGAAATACATCGACGTGTGACTAATATTTACGATCCCAATCGTTTAATCTCTAGTATCATTATTTAAAAGAAGTAAAAATAAATGTTATTATAATAATAATAATAATCAATAAGGGAAATCGTAAAAATAAGTCAACGACGATTTATTTATCCTTGATATAATCGTTGCCTTTTCAGTCGAGGAAGCCAGTCTTGACGAGCTTCTCGAGGAAGAATTTAACATCCCCTAATTCGGAATCCTTGATACCAAGTGATTTCAACATTCCAAGGTCACCGTTCTCCACTGCCATAAAAACTGAACGTAAGTGTTCCAAATCCGATCTCATCAGGTGTAAGACTGCACCAAAATCTTCAATCGTTTGCGATTCTGTATGCATATATATAACATTATAATTAAATATTATTAATTATTATTGTTAATTAAAAAGATTTATAGGAATTAGGGATTATAATCAAGAGATTAATAATAATTTATATTTTTTTTAAATAGTATATAAGTGGAAAAATTTTAAATATAATTTTATTTCGATTAATTTATATTATATTATGAATATATTAAATATTAATAATTACCGGATAACGCAATGGCAACTTTGTCGACACCACCGAGTGGTTTAAGAGTATCTCGAGCTCTGTTACCAAATAACTTTTCGAGATAATTCGGTCCGTGACTCGCCAGTAATGACTGAAGGAAACTTGCCGTCTCTTCTACAGGTGGTCGTTTGGCTAGAAAAGTTCATATAAAAATGTATTTTAATTCCTTTACTCTTTTACACTTTCACATCCCTTCTTTCTTCGCGTTATTCTTTTTTTTTTTTATCCTATAGTTCGAATTTTGTTTAATTATTGTATCTATCCATTTATTTAGTTCTTTGAATATAATTTTTGTTCCTTTTTAACAATTTCACACATCTTCGAATTTAATTTCTTTTTTGTTGGTATATTGTAATTGAAATCATTTTTTCTGTGTTCGTGTATTTGATCTTTTTGTTTGTTTTTTTTTTGTTGATTATTATAAATAATATATATTTTTTTTCTAGATAAATAAATAACGTTGTTTTAAAGAGTTAACGTTGTTTTCAACGCGAGTTAAAACGCATCGATCGATCGAGTTCAAGAACAAACGCTTATGTGTGTCTCGTAATAAATAATAATAATAATAATAATAAATACATGGCAAAGTTCGGTGCCGGAAGCTTTTAACTATCACCTGCCTTCCTTTTCTAGGATTATATACGGTGATCGCACCTAATCGATCATGAAACTTTATTTACAAGTATTTATTATCTTTAAAGAGAGAATATTTTAATCATTTAATATTATTATTTTTGTTATCCATGTGTAACACACACATATACACACACGATACGTTAACACAATTTAATTATAATTATTTATTTTATTTTTAATCTTCAATCTTCATCATTTTCTTTTATTTCCTCTTTAGATTAATCGTCTACGTAATCAGATTTAGAAAATTGAGATTTAATTGTTGATACGCGTATAATATATTTAACAATTATTTTAATCAATCTCATTTTTCTTCTTTTTCTTCTTTTATTTCCTTCTTTAAAAGATAATCATCTACACGGTATCGGATATAAATTCTAATTTAAATTTGTCACGTTTTTTTATTTTAATCAAATCACATGATTTCCTTTTATTTCTTTCTTTTTCTTCCTCTCTCTCTCTCTCTCTATCACACGTATTATTAGATAATCATCTACATAAAGAGTTAGAATTAAAATTCAAATGTTAAACGATAAACGATTTTGTCGTGTTTATATTATTAATTAATTAATTAATAATCTGATCACACATTATTTCATTTTACACGATTGAATTATAAAATCATGCAATTTTTTTTATTTGCGATTAATTTGATTGTTCTCGCAAGTTTATATTTTAATGACAGTTCATATAAATAATATTTCCTTGAATACATTGATTAGATTGAAAATGTGGTTGAAGGAAGAAGAATGATCGCGAGAGTAAAAGAAGATTTAACGAAGGACGTGAAGAGAAACTAACTGATATGTGTGTGTGTATGTGTCTGTGTGTGTAAGTAAATACATAAGAGTACAAGTGAACCACAGAATACTTATCCACTTATTCACGAGTACGATCGGTCGTTAGGAGCAATGTAGAGTTAGCCTTGTTCAACGATGAAACGTTATTTAATAGTAACGTTATTAAATAGTAACAATGACGGTCGACAAACAACGGCTCGATTTTTTGGCCATTGTTGCACAATCATGCTTTTTTAATTTATATATATATATATAATAACATTAACAATCTTCTCTCTTTCAAATTAACGAATTTTTTCGATCATAGTAATCTCAAATTTTTCCATTTGACTATCCCCCTTTAAATCGAGTGATTATGTGTGCGAAAAAAAATACCCGGAATCAGTAAATGAAACTTTGACTCACGTCAAGAAATGGGACTTAAGTCACCCTTTCATCCCCTTCCCCTACCAAGGATACAATTGGTCTATAATAAAAGGAACGATATTGGTCCTCGTTATTTTGTTTCTAATTTGTACTAATTGTTAAACCTATTTTTAAATCTAGATCGTTTTTAATTGAACTTAACATCAACTTTTGACTCATCAATTGAATTACTTTCGATTCAGATATAATCGGTGGGGTTATTAAAAAAGATTTTCCAGCCCAGATTATCGTAAATAAAATATTTCATTATAAGAGTTTTAAAAAAATCAATGAACTACGGTGAATAATTCTTATAATCATTTATACTTTTCGCATTATTTTCAACTACCATTACTTGTATAATCAATTGCATGACAATCGATTCCTAATTTGCCATTTCGGTGAAGGTAGAAGGAACTGTTGAATGTATAATGGCAAAAACAGGCTTAGAAATTAAATTTTAAAGCCCCCCCCCATCGTCTTTTGGGACGTAACACATGTATTTTATGTATGCATATATGATATTTATGTGCGTATGCAAAGTAAGTACGTACATATGCGTGTACGTTAATAGAAGGCGCTCCCTCTTGCAAAATTACATACGATCGATCGTTCTCGCGATTTTAAAGGTGGGACTAATGCATGAATAGATAATAATAATAATAATACTAACAATAACATTTTAATGTGTGAACAGAAAACCATATTTTACCTGCCGTGCAGAGTTTCGTATCTTCGTCATAACCGTTTCGACAATCCGGTGCACCGTCGCACAAATATTGTATCGAGATACACGTACCATCGCCAGGACATTTAAATGGTTCGTAAGGACGACAAGCGTCGTCTGAAAAAAACCAATAACAAAAAAAAAACAACGACTATAATTATTCATTTTTTATTATTTCACTTTTTACTCGGGGTTTGTGGTGGTGGTTGGTGGTGGTGCAATCTTCTTTTCTTTTTTTTTTTTGGTATCATTTTAATGAAACGGGAAATGAAGTTTACTTTTTAACGTTCTCTTTTCTTTTTTTTTTTTGTATACCCCCCCCCCCCCCCCCCAACGCTGATTACGTACGAACAGTTTATATTGCAACGGCAAAATTAAATTTTTTTGCTTGCATTAACTATTTCATACTGCAAATTGTTACGGTGTTTCTTTTTTTTTCGATAAAAGCACACAACATTCGAAGAATAAAATAAAACGAATGATAATAATAATAAAAAAATTGTTCGATGTAATAGTTTGATTTTTACAATTCATTTCTTTTTTCTACAAATATTTCAAGATTATTTAGCGAACCCTTCCAAAATTATAGGATCTCGGAACGATCACGGATACAATCGAAAGTTAAACTGCTCGTACGGTGTGGGGGTAAATGGGGGGTAGTAAAAAAGAATAAGATAGTGAAGTGAATTATTCATTTAGATCGGTCAGATAAAATCTTGTTTGTATAACAAATCAACAATACAGGAATAAAAGAAACATAATTAACTTACCTGAACTTTTGGAATTGAAATTCCCATAAAAACGGCTCAAATCGATCGCCACAACGGTACAGGGAAAGACCGTCAGGGCGAGGCCGAGACCGAGAGCGGTCAAACTCGTGATCGAAGATGCTCTGCTTGGCATTTTTTATTTAAAAAATCTTTTCAGATAATATATATTAAAAGTCGATTAAATAAATATTAATAATTAAATCGACAATGTCTCGAATCCTAATATTTTTATTGTATTTTATTGTATTTTTTAATTGAATTCTCTCTCTCTCTGGTCCTTCAAATTCTTGCCCAGCTTCTTTTGTAATAAAAAAATCGGCACACTCTCGACGAAGATAATCGTGTAACCCCGTCCGATTATTTTTCCTCTTGTTCTTTTTTTTTCTTTTTTCTTTTTTTCACCACTTACTCAACCCACTACCTCTATTCTCACTATTCCTCTTCTTCTTCTTCTTCTTCTTCTTCCTCTTCTTCCTCCTCCTCCTCCTCCTCCTCCACCCCTCTTTCTTCTATTTTTCGTCCTTTTCTTTTTTTACTATTTTGTTGTTTTTTTTTTTTTTTTTCAAAATTATCTTTATATATATATTCTTTAATTTTCTTGACCCTTAATTTATTACGATTAATGATATGTCTCTTATTCGTCGATCGTTAACAATAAATACACTTTTCTTTTTTTATATTGTTTCTTTAATTTAATTTAAACGCGTTGTTGTACTTTATTCTTGAATTTCTTTTTGAGCTGGTCGCACGACGCTCACAGCTGTCAACGATCGACTGGATGGTTGGTCGGTTGGTTCGCTGCTTCTGGATTGCGATTCTATCCTAGTTATATGTATATCAAACACTATATATATATATATATATATATATATATATATATACATATATACATATATCTATATCCTCTTTTTACTATACATTTTTCCCTCTCTCTTTCTCTCGCTCATCCTCCCTTCCGTGACGACCTTCCTTCCCCTATTTCCCCATGACACCCTCCACATTTCTCTCCCCTTTCAAGCTTAATGTCTGGTCAAGGGTCATGATGCGTGACACCAGGTATACATGGTTTAATATGGACGCACCTGCTTCCATACACACCCAAAGGAATGAACAACGCATATCGTACGTCAAATTTCGCATCTTCTTCTTCTTTTTTTTTTCTTCTACTACTACTGTTAATTTTCAAGAGTGGGGGAATACAGTGGCGTCCTTTAGACCATTCACGATCCAGTTTACATGATATTCAACCAATGAACATCCTCGGCACCCAAGTTATACCCCAGGACACCCACGCATCGCTGCTGCGCCTAGTCGCTCTGTTCATTTCAAGCCCGACATCGATTTCGCATCCCCTGCTACCCTGTTTTCTCTTCTACCCTTCCCTTTCCTTCCCTTTCCCCTACCTATCATACCCCTACCCCTTCTCATCACCTTTCCTTCTCCACTTTTCTATTCTATTCTATTTTATTCTATTCTATTCTATTCTCTTCCCCCACATCTGCTGTTACCTTTACCTTTACCTTTACCTTTACCTTTCCCACCCCTTGTTATTTTACTCAATGTGCTATCATCCCTCGAGACCTTCCCTGCCAAATTCCAATTCCTTTAACTCCTCACCCTTTTAATTCTACTCCCTCTCCTTGTCTCGTCTCGTCTCGTCTCGTCTCTCTCTCTCTCTCTCTCTCTCTCTCTCTCTCTCTCTCTCTCAACAACCCTTAAATTCATTTTCCTTCTCTGTTTTCTTTTCTTTCTTTTTTGTTTTAGATTTATTCGTTTACTTTATATCCCACGCTTTTCTTTAACGAACCACGCTGTTATTTTTCCATAGAATTCAATTTACGATCGAGTTTCCACGATTATTATTTCAATGCCAATATTGATACTTTTCGTTCGATCGAAGTCTCTCGTTGTAATAGTTATATTTTTTTTTAATAAAACTATTATGCATTAAGTTAAGTATTTTTCTTTCCTATCGTATTTCTGCCATATTTCTTAGAAATGTACGATGATCAATATAATTTGTAATATATTAATTTTATCTATGTGCGATAGAACAAAAATTATTAGAATTATTAAATATTTCGTAATATATATATATTTTATCATTTAATATTTATGAAAACATTCATAAGGGGTATGCATTTATCGACGAATGTATCGCGATCTACCTTACCGGCAGGGAATCGCGAATGCAATTAAAGTAGCACATCTATCGTCATTTATGTGAACTACGTATTGAATATATTAAACAACACCATATTTAGTTGAATAAATAAACGTTAAGCATTATTTGTATGAACTATAATAAGGTCTAAGATACAGTGATTATAGTGTAGTAATTAATATTGTTAATTATAAACATACGTGAATATATTTCTTTAGATAGTTTTTAATTGTATAATGTAATTTACGTTGGAAATAAGATTACTCAATTACAGTTTGTCTGTGTTTACGTTTGGGAAATTCCCCAATTGTCAGATGTAGAAAAAAATAAAAGAAAATATATAGGATCGGTCTATCATTAATATTACGTATTATAAACACATACACACACATATTGACTCACGATCGGAATTTATTATGTGATCATAAAGTGCAATGTGCAATGTAATAATGCAACTGAAAGATTATTTATAAAATAAGATTGATGATAATACGTTCGATGTTGTCCTACTGTTGTCTACGTTGACAATAGGAAGACGAATTTTGAAAATAAAAAACATGCATCGGTAGTTTTAAGTAATCAAGATCTGTCATTAAAGTATAAAAGTATTAAATGAAACACACAAGTTTTCATCATGGAAGATTTGAAATACAAATTCTTGAGTTTTATTAACAAACAGGTACCATTATTCATTTATTTATACAAGTTCTTGATAATATTTAAACAAATGTTTGTTTGAATTATTTCTCTTTTTATTTTGAATATGTTCAGTAAAGCTTTTAAGGTTAAACATTGGTTTATATTGAGACAAATGTAATATTCGCATATGATTGTATTAAAATTGCAATGTTGTTCATTTTTAATTCATTTTTGTAGAATACAGTGAAAGTTCCGATTATGGGTTTAAATCCAGCCTTGTTAGAAACGGAACAAAAATGCGAAGACTTACAATCTGAAACAGGACAATCGACTGAAAGTGAACATATTCCGGATCAAGAAATATTGGAATCTATTGAGAAGATTTATTTTAGAAAAGATGATGACTTTGATCCAAGTAGATACGAGTTAGAAAAATTATTAAAAGTATTGCAGTCAAAGGAAATAGAAAAGCGTTACAAGAAACTTAAACAACAGTATCAAGTTGTGTCGAAGAAAGTATTGCAGCTAATTCTGCAGAAACAAAGTGCTTACGAAAAGGAATTCGATAATATCTTAGTCATACAAAACCAACTTCAGAATATGTTGGCAATATGCAGAATGGGAAGGCAGGATCTGAAAGTAGCTAAGGAACAATTTACTAAAGCCATTTTAGGAATATTGGCCAATTATAAAAAACGTCAAGATATTGAGAAATTATTAAAAAATGTACATACCATCAAAAATTTTGTGAGTATATTTTTTCTTTTTTTTTTAGATTAACAGCAATGAAATCTATCTAATCAAGAAAATTAAGTTGATATCATTTGTTGAACGTATAGCAAATTTAGATCATATTTATTTTAGCAACGTATGGGAGACCAATTGGAGGAACTTCTGGGCAAGAAAAATTATCCTGGCGCAATTTCACTTTTATTAAAATGTCAACGAGATGCGCAGACTTACAAGCACTTTAAATGCATCGCAGCTTTGAATGGAAAATTACAAGATATTTTAGAACAAACTGAGAAGACTTTAGACGATACACTTTCTAAAATGTGCACGCACTTTGATGAAACTGTATATACTTCAATACAAGAAGCTTACATGTTATTAGGAAAAGCAGAAACTGCTGTAGATCAAACGAATTTGCATTTTACTGCTGCCATTCATAATACAGCATTCTCTGTTATTCATTCGTACACGGAAGAAGATACGCAGAAACATTATATACAATTATGTCAATCTGTACCTAAAGATAAATCTGTACTTTGCTTGATAGAACTTTGTATATCGCTGTGGAACATACTGATCTCTTATTGTCGAGTTATTTGTTGGCATAATGTACATGAGAGTAGTAAAAAGAATCATTCGGAGGAGAAGGATTTTGAAAAAATTATTACTAATCAATATGCCAAGCATAAATTAGATTTAAGTAGTATGATGCGAATGTGGTCCGAGGTAGAAGCTGAAATATCCATGTATTTGTCCAACGCCGACTTGGTTTATATTAAATTCGAACAGTATGTTCACATCTTGGGAATAGTTAATCGGTAATGAAATATTTATTCTTACATATACATAAAAATTTATCATTTAAGATGTAAAAAAACATTTACAAAATTAATTTTTATTATAGATTAATGGAACTTGGAGAATTGTCTGGTTATAAATTTGAAAGGTTACAAGAATTCATGCAAAAACAATCTCAATTATATTTTTCACATTACAACTTGTCTCGTTTGGATGAACTTAGAATATTTCTTGAAAACGATGGATGGGAATTGTGCCCTGTTAAACCTAATTTCGTGGCAACTCAATTGCAAGAATTCAAAAGTTTGAAACCAATATTAAACAAATCTAAAGTATGCAACGGTTTGGATACTTCGATCATCAGTGAAACTGAAACCTCTATAGATATTGAATTGTTGTTACAAAAGTATCTTGAATATGGTGCATCACCTTTCACTGTTGGACTCGATGACACAGTAGAAGAAGATATTTCTGCTCGTTACAAGGTTTGTTAAATTAAATAATGTGTTTTATATAATATTATTTCAATAATTATGATATTGTTTAGGATGACTTATCCGATGATTCCGACGATGATATATTTGATGAAATAAGTCGTGAATACGTCGATGAATCGGAACACACTAAAGTTAATAAAAAGAAACATAAACACAAACATAACGAACCAATAGTTACGAATACAACTCTGACCATTTTGAGGGTGTGTGGAAAGTATTTGCAAATGTCCAGGCTCTTAAGATCAATTGCAGTCGCTGTTACTAAAAGCATGATACAATTTTTTGAAATTTATTTCTACACAGTGCATTTATTTTTCACCGCAGATCTTGTAAGTTTATTTTATATAACTTTATAATATATTTTTTGCTCAATTTAGTATAAAATAAAATTTCATAACGAACGTATTAATTTTTTTAGCAAATAAGCAGTGAAATTTTGTATAGTCCAAGATTAAAATTGTCACTTAATCGTATGAAAGACAACTTCATAGTCAGTGAAACTGAAACGGACGATAATGCGAGTTCAAATTGTAATAATAAAGTGAGACAACCGCATTTGTCTTCTAGTGTCATCTTGTCGCAACCTGATAAACTTTATGGATTAACTGAACGTATTGTAGCTGTTGAATCATTAATATTTTTAGGACAACAATACGAAAACTTAAAAACTTATTTAGAACACCTCCTTGGTAGTAGTCCACAAAGAGGATTTTTGCATCCTTTTTATACGCAAACAATTGTATGTACTACAGATTTAAGAAAACCAGTTTATATGGCAGTGGTGTCGCAAACATTCGATATAGCAAATATTTTAAATTTGATGAATAAAGTCAATTGGGAAGTAACTGATGTTATGTCTCAGCATAGTAATTACATCGATGTTTTATTAAAGGTAATACACATTCGTTATACTTTCATAAAATATTTGCATATCATGAAATCAATGTTTTATTTATTATTTCTATTTTATACTAGGAGATAAATGTGTTGAATGAAAAATTAAATAACATTGCAAATTCGATTCCTTTATCCGAAGAAGTTCATGCTTCCATATGGGAAAATGTTGCACATTTAATTACGCACACTTTGGTTGAAGGGTAAGTACATTTTATAAATAATAAAAATACAAATAAATTACGTGTATACGTAATTTTTTATACTGTATAGTTTTTCCTGCGCAAAAAAATGTTCGAATGGAGGAAGAGGATTAATGCAACTGGATTTCACGCAATTGAAATTAAAATTTGAACAATTGTCTACCCTAAAACCGATGCCGCATAATGATTACGTAGAATCTTATATCAAAGCTTATTATCTACCAGAAAATAGTTTGGAAGAATGGATCAAAGAGCATAAAGTAATTGTGTAAAATATATTTACTTTACATGATATATTATTTTAAATTTATATATATAATATTATTTTCTCTTTTCAGGAATACTCAGTAAAACATTTGATAGGATTGATTTGTTCCGTTTGTCAAAATAACAAAAAAACAAGACAACGTTTAATAGCCAGCGTAGACAACGAGCAAAGACCTTGTAGATAGCATCAAATAATCCACTATAGTACGGCACAAGATTTAGTTGAAATAGAGATTATCTGAAAAGAGGTATAATATCATTTATAAATATACAGTGGGTGTCATTTAAAATCGTATGCTGTTAAGATTATTAGATTTTTGCTTGAAAATTATTGGCATAATTTATTCAGTATGAAGACACAATTTAGAAATGAATACATTAATATATTTGTATTACATATTTAATGAGAGTTTTATGATAGGCAAATTTCGGATTTGAAATTATCGAATGACATCATTAAAATCGAACGTTCGATATTTTGGCGATTATCGAAGTATATCGAGACTACAGTATCATTTCGTAATACGAGTGAAGAAGATCGAAATTTTATCCTTCTTACAAGTAAGCTTTAAATAATAAAACAATAATACATTGTTTAAATAATTTAAATAATTTTGATTTGATATTTTATTCAATGAAAATTTGAAATTCAAAGTCATTGTTGGATAGAAATGTTAAAACAAATGTATTTTAATTTAAACAATTTAAAATATAAATAGATTAAATTCAAATGTTCGATATACTTTAAATTATTATTAATTAATCTAAGATAATGTATATTGTTGTCTAAAAACACGGAATATATGATCGGTGTACCGTTGTCCTTAAAAACCACTGTTAGATTGGCATAATATCATCTTTTAAAAACAATTAAGATTTTTTGTATTTATCACTTTATATCTATGATTTTCCCCCCGAAGCTATGTATATGTATACAACGAAAATAATATTCAAAAAGTCATATAAACAACAATCGATAAAGTAACTTTCATAGAGGACAATGATTCAGTCTAACGGTGGATTTCGAGGAGGACGGTGCACCTGTCATATACTCAGTGTTTATAAACTACAATATATATTTCCTTCGATTAATTAACAATCATTTCAGGTATATCGAATATTTTATTATTATTTATAAGTGTTTAAACTATAGAATACATTTGTTTTAACGTTTTTTAATTTAATAAGCATAACAGTGTATAATTTTAAATGACACTTGTGCATATATATCGAATATTATTAATAATTACTAAGACAAGATTAATCTCAAAAAAAAAAAGTAATTAACCTCAATTTGTTTTACATTATTATGAATTTATAAATGAATACGATTAATGCATAATATATATATTTTTCTTTTTGTACAAGCAACAATTAATTAACTATAGGCACGTTACGGTATGCAAAAATATTTAAGACGTTTTATTCCAACATTAATTTTTATTGATTCTCTATTTTTTATTTTTCTTTTTGTTAGATCTGAATTTTTATTATTATTATTATTATTATTATTATTATTATTATTATTATTATTATTATTATAAATTTGATTCTCATTTTGTTTTTAATTAGATCTTTTAAAGAGTGATCTTTTACATTAAATATGAATCTCTGAAATACATAATTAGTTATATATATATATATAATGATAGTATTATTTATATAAGATGAAAAAGTATATCTATGCTAAGAAAATGATAAACACATTGTAATTATAATATATTAAAGTTACATAAGCTTTTTATTCGATTACAAAAACGCTTTATTAAGACTTTTGAAAACTTAATTAGGATTAAAATTAAAAAAACAGAAATAGAGGTCTTTGTATAATTAACTTATACTGTGCACGCATCTACTACGTATAAGTGCATCGTTGGAATATATTATTGATTGCTATACAGCTTTAATTACTACAACGTGAATCTCGAAAAGAAAAAGATTTATTAACTTGTATAGGAAAAAGTAATATGTGGGTTACTTTATTTCATATATATATAAATAAAGTTAAATAATATATTAAAGTAAATTTTAAGGTAATGGTGTTGTACAGATATCTAAGATACACGAATATGCAAAATCATATATCTGGTGTGATGATTATGGTGACTAGATAATCATAATAATCTTGTTAATTGCTATACAATTAATTAACCTCTTGCATTATAACAACGCATAAGACTTGTCATATGTTTTATAATCTAAACATGGAAAACAGGGGTTTTATTCATGGCAAAGCATAAAATATAATATCAACTTTGGCATGCAGTTCTATGCGTTTAATTATATTGCAAGGGATTTATATTTAAAATTATTACGTAAAGTATTAATGAATTTACAACAAGCATTTGTTACTACAAGAATAATAATATATAATTGTTATAATAATTACAAGATAAATGAATCATTTAAAAAAAAAAAGGAAAAGAAAAAAAAAGTAATCGATATAAGCATATTTTTGTGTTACATTATAAATGTCCTCTTACATAATTTCCTTTGGTAAAAAAATAATAATAATAATAATAGAAGAAATAGAATTTATTTGAGATATTGCTTGTGAAACATTAGAATTTTCAGGAATTTAAAGAAATCTTTATTATACAAATTATAATAATGTACATAAACATGTATAGTTTATAGATTACTTTAATCTCTATTTTATAAAAAATTTCCATATAACTAATATGTTTACCATTAGAAGTAAATATGGATTGTGCTATAGTGTTGTTTTACAGACACTAAAAACCGGAAAAATCCACTTGCACCTTTTACTAATTATTATCGCTATGAAAAGTTAATTTGTTCAAATATTTGTGTATTATTTCCAAAATTACAAGTTTTCGTTACCAGTCTTACTACGATTTCTCGATGAAGAATTTGTTTTATTTTCTAAATTTTTACAAAAGATTCGCAAAAGAGATTCGAATACAATTCCAATGCATCTACAGATCAAAATGCTTTCTTCTTCTCTCTTCTTCTTCTTCTTCATTATTCTATTCCTTTAAAACGAATAATATTATTTAATAGCAAAAATATATATAAATATGTGACATAATTTTTGTTTTAATCTATTTAAAGGCAAAAGCCAATGTATTATGTTATCATTTATTTATTTCCTTTTAATTTTTATTGTTAATTACGATGCAAAGGAATTTTTGGCTATTAGTGCAAACAAATTAAACTAAAATACATCTTATTATAATTTTCAAAATGACTTGACAATTTTTAGCGCTTAATAACATGTGGCCCCCAAGTTCGACGTAATGTTTATACATATCTCATTAAGATCTATCAGCAGGAAAACAAAATATTTTTTACAAATATGCGTCTACGTTCTTATAATAATAATAATAATAATATTAATAATAATAATAAAACAATATTAATAATAATAATAATAATTAAATGCGACACGACAATAGTCACATTAATTTTAAAATTGATAATAGTGAGTGTACAGGAATTAAACTTGCACATTGTTTAATAAACATGATACTATTTGTAAACGTATCATCTACTTTGGACATAGAATTGTTTTTTTTTTTTTTTTTGAATGAGAAGAGAAAAAAACAACAAAATTTAAAAAGAGAAAATGAAGGACATGTAATATAAGCAATTATTAATAACTTATTTTCAGCGCCGAATGATCTATTTTCTGTATAGATCAGCGCTCTCGCTCTCTTACGTATATGTATGATAATTAATAATTTTACATCGGGCGGCAGGAAAATATTTTTGCATAATAATATCAATATATATAAGTAATCAACAATTAATTATGAGAATCGAGTCTATATTTTGTACATAAGTGATTTCTTTACTTTTTTTTTTTTTTTTCTTTTTTTATTATTTACTCCGCGTTTACTCAACAAAAATCCCTATTATTGTATTGCTATTAGTTAAATAGTAATAGTAGTAGTAGTAGTAGTAGTAGTAGTAGTTATAGTAGTAGTCACTATATGCACAATAAAATGTTGTAATATTCAAAAAAGTGCTATAAATTTTGTTATAGAGTGTTCAGGCTTTGGCTTTTTTATTTTTTTTTCTTTTTTTATTTTTCTTTTTTAGTTTATTTTATTAATACAACGAATAATCTCTATGGTTATACGTTTTTGTTTTAATCGAATGTCTCATATCAATTTTTGCGTTCTCATATTTTTCTTTTTTTTTTATTATGTAATATTAGGAATAAATATGATGAAACATTGCACGATGACATTTAATAAAATTCGTGTTTTAAGTTTTGTTTTGAAGAGAAAAAGAAACGGATACATGGTTGTTGTGCAAATGGTGAATCAATGAAGAAGACATTTTTTGAAATAACATTGGAAAAACGTTTGAACAAATGACGTTTTATACTAACAATTAGATTATACATAAGCTTTATAAATTGTTTACGATATCAATGATAACATATTATAATGGAACACACAGAAAATAATGTTAGATAATTAATATGCACATTCCTTAATGTTTTTTCTTTTTTCTTCTTCTTATTCTCATGATTCGAATGATATTATTATTATTTATGATTATATATTTTTTCTATCGAGCTCATACGATTAATACTTATGGTTTTATATACAATGGAGCATATAAAAAAGTATGATTTATCGTGTGGAATATAACATAGAATTCTGTATCACCTTCTCTTCAGTATCTTAATAGCAGAAATGTTTGACGAATTTTATTGCGCTTGAATTGTATGCATATTTTTGGGTAGATTTAAAAAAGAAAAATAAGAAATACAACTGAAGAGACGTTGGAATGCATTAATTAAGTTTTAATTTTGTACAAATCCTAAATGCGTTAATGGGATAACAAAAGGAAAGAACTTTAAATAAAACAAGCTTTATATAATTAAAAAAATTAAAAGAACATTTTAGTTGGATGATCCATTGCGACAAAAAATGAATTATTAATTGATACTACATAATATAGCCATAGAGCGTTCATCAGGATCAGCACATGTTGTTAAAGAAAATACCATGACATTCCAAAGCCCGATATTTATTATCCTTCTCTAAATATAGATCATATTTTTACACAAAGTATTCCTTTTTTCTTTCTTTCGTTCTTGTTTTTTTAGTTAACTTAGGATCTCTTTTTATCAAAGTTACATAATGCGAATTATCAAAGGAACGAGTTTTTTGTTTTTCTGTTTATAGACTTACAATTGCGAATATTAATATATATTTTTTAATATATATATATATGTAATATGCATTAGCTTATCTTTTCTTTTTTTGTTATTGTTTCTTTTTCTTTCCGTTGTAAGTATATAAAAACCTGGAATTTATAATTCGATTGAACGATTGTGAATATTAATTCGTGTTTTCAGTTTCATCTTATTCTATTAATTATTGAAAAAAAAATATATATATATATATATGCATATATATTAAAGAAGGATTTGTAAGATACACAACATCTTTGATAAAACTTACAATTTGTGTTGGAGAAATATGGCAACCTAATTCTAACTATTTGTTTGTTGTTATTATTAATACTTGCATATAGTAAAAACGTTGGCATTGTGTGTATGTAGTTGTTGTTGCTGTTGTTACATAATAACACGTTCCTTTAAACTGATAGTATCAATGAGTAGTATAACTGCAAGTCGTACGATAATTTGCCCCTTATATTTTGTGCGAATAAACATGTCCATTTTATTTTATTATTTCTTTCTATTAAGATTATCTTTGAATTTCAATTAAAGTGAAGTATGAAAGTGTAGGAATCGGATATAAAAAAATAAAGTAAGAAAGTAGGGGAATTATTATGCGATATCATTGATAAACACTTTCATGTACTTCACTAGAACTGGAAGACTACATATGGACAGTCGATGAATTCAAGTGAATATTCTGATTTGTAGAAAAAGTGAATTATACATTAGATTATACGTTACGTTAGTGTATCAATGTACTGTATACTTAGTGTTTACAACCACATTAAATCATTGTAATAATATACAGTCAGAAGAAGGCATGACAATCCCATAAGGATGTACAATTTCCTTAAATACCACAGTTAAATGTTGCGAATGTTAAAATATTTTATAATTCTGTTACGACGCATTATTTTTCATTTTGTTTTTATAAATACGTACGATTTCTAAAAGTGTTTAAATTATAAGAAAATGCAGTCTGAAAGTATATAACTCTATTTGATAATGTTTTAATTACATCTTATGGGTGGCAATGGACAGCTAATAATAATAATTAATTAATAATTAATGATGATTACAATTTCTCTTAGTTGGCTTCATGATATATTACTATGCTCTTATTATCAATATTTATTGGAACACACACCACAGTATGTAAGGAGCATTTCTGAATTGCAGTATCTCTCTCTTTCTCTTTCTCTTTCTCTCTTTCTTTCTTTCTTTTTATCGAAATCATTCCATTGATATTCGATCAATGTTCAATTGTGCCTTACAATGGAGCCTCCGTAATGTGATAAGTTTTTAAATAAAAAATACAGGTGTATATTCTTTCCTTTTTCCATATCTATAGCCAAATTAGATGAAAAATAAATATTTGCTCATAATTTATGGTTACTGGTCAACCATGTGAGCCCTTCGTAAAGCCCATCTCCAGTTGTAGCGCACGATGGTTGAACGTACCAATTTCTGTCTCGTATCCTAGTTAACCCCAATTTTTCTTGAATCTCATGGGGTTTCATCGCTAAATGTAAAATCATATTCTTAAGGAAATTCTCAATGAGTTCATTCATATGTGCATATGTTCTCATGAATATAAAGTATACAACGATGAATGTAATATAATAATATCTATGAAAGATTTTAATTAATGCTACATTTAATGTAGCATTGATTGTTTTTATTTGCAGTGTAACAACTTACCATCAGGAAGATCTTGTTTATTAGCAAAAATTAAAATAATAGCATCACGCATTTCTCTATCATTAATAATCCGATGGAGTTCTTGACGTGCTTCGTCAATCCTATCTCTGTCAGCACAATCTACTACAAAAATAAGACCTTGTGTTCCTGTGTAATAGTGACGCCATAAGGGACGTATTTTATCCTGTCCACCTACGTCCTGAAAAATAAACCCACGATGATGAATATTAAACTTAGACATTTAACGCATCAATATTATTATTAACATGGAATAATTTGAACTTTTGACTTACCCAGACATTAAATTTAACATTTTTATAGGTAACAGTTTCTACATTAAATCCTACAGTCGGTATAGTTGTCACAGACTGTCCTAATTTAAGTTTATACAATATTGCTGGCGTCAATAATTAAGGAAATTAAAAGACATAAGTGTTGAATTAGATTGAAATTGTAATCGAATAAGGAAGGTATCAATTAGACTAAAAATTAAATGAAATTATAAAGGATACTAGTTTTTCCTGCAGCATCCAATCCCAACATGAGAATACGCATCTCCTTGTTGCCAAAAATTTTGGACAACAACTTTCCCATCTTGCCAGCTGCTTTCTAGGCACCTGCCACCTGGATTCCATATACTGTATAATATTAGAAAATTCAAGACTTATCTTTTATTCATACAAGAATACAAGTAACAATAATCATATCATTATAATGTCCTCATTTCATGAACTATTATAATATCATAATAATGAAAATATACGTTTGATTAAATACAATTAAATGTTGCTATCAATTCAATCATTTGTGTAGTATTCTTTCAGAAAATAAAGAATTTAAATACACACAAATATACCTAACCTATAAAAACTCATAACGTTCGAGATAAAAAGAAAAGGGTTGGAAAATAAAAATCGTACACCTCAAAGGTGTGTGTATGTACAAAAAATAGATAATCAATAATAGAATGATGAATGAAATGAATAAAATGCTGTTTTTTTTTGTTCTTAAGAGTAATAACGAGGATGTAAAAAAAGAAAGAAAAAAGGAAACGTTAGGAATAAATTGATAAAATAAAAAAGTTAAATGCTGAGTGATCTACCTACAATGTGTGGGATGTAAAATTGTATGATAAACGGATAGCAAAGTCTGAAGATTAGAATAATTAAATAACCTTTACCATTAGTAATATAACAATAATAATGATAATAGTAAATGAATTTTAAATTGGAATGAGAGTATAATGAGAAGAATAGCATAACGAACAATAGGATAAAGTATTTTATCTTCACCCACGCATTTTTTATATGACAATCGATGACGAATTTGATTAAAGTATGTTGCAGTATATATTTTATCTCTTTCTAACTTTATTGGTTATATTTCTTTTTTTTTTTCCTTCTTTCTTTCTTTTTTTAAGATCAATTAACACGTTAAGAGTCAATTTATGAACTATGCACATATATATATATATA